GAAATCTTAAAAAGTACTTTAAACTGTATAAATTCAATTGAAATCGATCGGCCAATCACGTGAAAGTCCTCCTATGAGTTTACGACTGTAGTCTGTGCGTTTATGCATGGATTTGTTAAAGTTTTTTCCCGCCAAAATTGTTATTTACTCAAAGAGCCACGTTGTTACACTGCCGCCAAAAATTACCCGTTTTGGTCTTACAATCTAACTGATAACCTGTAAAATTACCTATCACAATGGATACTTGGGAAACATATCACTGTATTTATATTATATATATTATCTAATCTTAATCTTTTTAGATTAATTCTTATCTCTGATATTTGATCTATAAAATAATAAAATAGTTGTTTATGATATTCGGTATGGGGAAAATTTTTAAATAATGGTCTATTTCTGTATAATTTTCGGAGCATCATCCGTAAACATATTAACTTGCAATGAAGGTTATTTTGATGAATTTTCTGATGGATGGGTTGATGAATGTACTGAACCTTGATATGCAATTGGAAATCAATACCCAGATAAGAATGTCAATCTTATCAGATAAGAAATATCTGACAGCTGCATAAGATGATTATATAAATTGCATGCCAATAACGAAATTTTTTAATATTAGTTTATTTTTTTGTTCATTTAGAAAGTATAATAATAAGTCAGATAATAATAATAAAACAAAAAAAAAAAAAAAAAAATTATAAAAAAAAATTAAAAAAAAAATTCGTCGTATCAAAAAAGTTTTTTTTTAACCATCAAAATCCCATCACCTGTTCACTTGTTATTAGTTTGATTGATTAGAGGGAAAAGGTGGTTGTTATTTTCGTCATGTTTCTTTTTTTTTGAAAAAAAAAAATTTCCATCATTTTTTTTATTTATTTTTATCCTTGATTAAATTATTATTGTCATTTTTTTATCGTTTTCGCCTTAAAACTCGTTTATTCGCCATTTTAATCGATAATTTGTACGCTTCGACTTTCTTTTATTACCCATTTTTAACTACCCTATTCATTATAAAATCTGTCCCCTTTTGATAAGAATTTTTTTTCGATAAAAAAAATGTCATCAATGTTTGAAATAAAATTAGGAGAACCTCGACCGAAAACAAGTTGGGTTTGGCCATATTTCGAAGTAAAAACTTTACAGGATGGTGAAAGTGTAGCAACTTGTACTCTTTGCAATAAAACTTTTAAACATGGCGGATCCACTTCAAATTTAATAAATCATCTGGCTAAAACTCATAAAGTGTTCAAGCCTGACAATAATACAAGTAACGGTGGTCATAACAATAATAAAAGAGGAAGTTATAGTAGTGTTAGTGGCATAAATGAACTCGCTGCAAGTAATTTCGGAGGTGGATTTAGTTCCAATATTAACAACATTTACGATTTTCAACAACAAAATTATCAAATTTTACAACCTCAATATAATTTAGAGGATGAAATATTGCATCATCATCATCATCATATAAACGATGCGAATATGAGGAAATCCAAACAACAAAAATTACATCATCCGTTAGATTTCTTATTTGGAACTTGGTACGGTGAAGGAAGTGGTAGATTTGAAGGAATCAATGATTTTATTTATAATGAAGAAATTACCATTTATCCTGATGAAGCTGGCAGAGGTTGGTTATATTATAGGTAAGGAAATCTTTATCATACTTTCGTGATGTAGGTTTAAATGCATATCTTTTTTTTATAAAACGCGTAACTTTTTATAGACAGAAAACGTGGAATCCCATGAAAAACAATTCGAATTTTCACAGCGAAATGGGGTATATTCGAACGCCTGGGAGTGATAAAGTCGAATTGGTTTTGGCTCAACCGACAGGTATCTTTTAAATCATATCAAAATTCCAGGAAAGAAAAAAATAAAGTTGAAAAACTCAAGTTATTTCTTTTATTAAGGAATCGCTTCAATCGAAGAAGGTAGAATTGATGGTACAACAATCATGTTTAGATCAACTGATATTTCACGATCTAGCACTACCAAGGTTGATTTTTAATAATAACCTCGATTTTAATTAAACGTGAATGAATTATTAATTAGAATTTTTTTGTAATATTATTGATTTAGCCTCCTCATATAACAGAATATACTCGGTAAAACATGTTTTTATATTTTTTTCTTTCTCACAATTTAACCTAATTTTTGATTTTTAAATTTATTTTTTAATAAAAAGAACTTGGATGGTGGATCCTATAAACGAGACAATGACATACGTTTTTAATATGTCAACACAACACAAACAAATGGCTCAACACCTTAATGCTACCTTAAGGAGAATTCCAATGTAAAGTTATATTATATCTGTGATGAATATTAATTAAGTATTAAGAGAAAATAAAATTGATAAATCATAACGAATACAAATAAAAATCATTACGCTGTATAATAAGATTATAAAATAATTAACGAAAAGCTAATAATATAAATAATTTATATTAGTAATATGAATAGAATAATAATATATAATAATGATTATAAGAAAATGATTAGGAATATGAGAATTGGATATATATATGATTAGATATGATGTTACTAATAGTATATTAAAATTTAAGTAATAATAATATTTATTTAAAATTTATTAAAAAAAATCAGCCTTAAAATTTAATTAAGAAATTGTAATATGTAATTTATATAAATAAATAGTTAAGTTATTTACATATACTGTATTAAAAAAATTTTATTATAAAATAAAAATTTTTTTCTTTTTTTTTCTTTAAAAAAAAAATAAGTTCTTAATTTTATTACATTATAATTTTAAATCATATAATACTTTAAATATAAACTTTATTTTTAATTTAATATCTTAATAATTATAAAATAAGATTATTTTATATAACTTATTAAGAAATTTAATAACTTTTATTAGTAATAAATTAATTTATTTAGTTGATTTTAAAATTGAATAATTGAATTATTTCTTATTAACTTAATATAATTATTAGAAAATATATATGATATTTTTTTTATTAATAATAATATTATTAAAATTAGAGTTTTATATTTTATTACATAAATAATATTTTATATTTTATTATAATATCAAAAAATTTTTAAAGTTTTTAAATAAATTTACTTATTAAAAGATATATATTTTAAATATTAATATATTTATAAAATGCAAATATATTTTTTATTATAATATATTAATTTAATAAGATAATATTAAAATTATTACAATTTACAAATAAATATTATTAATATTATATATAATTTCATTAAAATTCAATTTAATATAAAAAATTAAAAAATAAATAAAAACTTTAAATTTTTTTTAAATTTAAATTAAATTTAAACTTATTTTATTAAAATCATTATTATCTAACGATACTAACGACTGAAAATTAGTATTGATGTAAGATTAACAAAGGATTTAGCTTTAAGACTTTATAATACGAGATTTATGGAGAGCTTCTGAAGGTTTATCGATCAAATGTATTTCAAGTCAAAGTAGAATTTATGGGTTAAGTAATTTAGAGTTTTATTAAAGAAAAGAATTATTACAAATGTATTTATTTGCATACAAGTGTTTTAGCAATTATCTTGTTAATGATAAAACTAAGCAAATTCTCTACTTAAAAGTTCCTATGTTATTGAAGTTCTAAAGCTACCCTATTTATAAGAAATAAAATAATAATAATAATAAAAATATAAATAAAAATAAAAAATGTAATAATTGGTCTTTCATCGTATACCTGACATATATTACATATATGGCAGATTTGGCATTTTCCACAAATCTGCCAGTTTTGGTTGATTGGGTAGATTTTGAGGATCTGCCAATTTTAGCTGATTGGATGGATTTTATGACAAGGTAAAAATCATGTGATCTATAAAATAACTTTTTAGTTTATTACAACATATCAAATTATATATATATATATATATATATTTCTAAAGAACAAATATAAAATTATTATATAGACGTTTTGCAATAAAAAGGAAAAAGTTTCAAATAAAATTTTTTTTTGAATTAATATTAAATCTGAATTTATTTTACTAAAAAAAATCATATTTAGCTTAATATAAGTAAAATTCTTCTTTTTCTATTATTATATATTTTTAATATTTAATATTAAAATAATATTTTATACCAATTTTTTAATTATTCAATAAGAATGATAATATATTATTCCTTTAGAATAATTTTAATTATTTAATAAGAATAATAATATATTATTTTTGAAAACAAAGTATCAAAACTTATAAAAATGATAAAACTATATCAAATAATTAGTAAAATTAAAGTTTAGACATTTAGCTAAATCAAAATAAGTTTAGACAAACAATTTTAGAGATTATAGTTTAATTGTTCTTTATAATAATAATTTATATTATTCTATAAAGAAAGTGACACATATAACATAATTATTAGGAAAAGAAAAAAGTTCTTAAATATCTCACTTTTTACATGATTATTAGATTAGCAAATCATAATAAAGAAGTAAATTATTCATTATATAGTAAAACTGAATATTATATCCAAATTTGATATATGATAATAAGTTTGGAATAAGATAAAATAAATAAATTTAAATAAATCACTAATGAATTAAAGTTACAAAGGTATACTTGTTCTTAACCAAATATAGATTAACTTATAACTGTTGATTCTAAATATCACATAGAGGTAGTGTTTCACAAAAAATCTGATTCAATCTGAATTTGATCTGAATCTGATGGATTGGATCGAATCAGATTTATCAGATTCAGATTCAGATTCAGATTCAGATTTGTTAGATTCGAATCGAATCGGATTCAGATTTTTCAGATTCGGATTAAATCGGATTTTGCTCAAATCTGATCTAATCTGATCCGTGCGAAACACTGCTTATACTTGATCAAGTGAAATATAGAAATGATATCTACATCAAACTTACCAACCTTCCCTTTTGGACTACAACACGTGATCTTCAGGATATCATTATCGCCACTAAAGCAAAAAGCTGTTATATTTCACGTTCTAACAACTACAAATCACGCCCTTTCACTATTCTCTATTTTGAATCTGAGAATGCACTCAATGATGCTATAAAAACCAATTATGCTTTTAGTAATCAAGAACTATAATAGTGTGCAGCTGACCTTAAATGCTGCTACAAATGTGACTCACCTGAGCATATTGTTATGAAATGCCTATAAATCACCCTTACTGCGAAAGATGACTTCTCTAATAACAATAGATCTCACTCACACCTTCCTTTCATTTAAAAATTGTATAATTATTACAAACCTGTTAGCTCTTGTAATTTGATTATCAAGAATAACAATGATAGAAAGGATCAGTCTCCAAATGTTTGAAATAACATGAATTACTCTAATACCTTGAATAATGACAAAGACAAAGAAACTGGCCCTAAAAACACCTCCTTAGACAATTCTATTCACAATCCTTTTAATAATAATACCAACAAAAACCTCGACCAAATCTTAGACATGCTTTCTGGCATGAAAAAGGCTATATCTGAATTAGAAGCCCAAATTCTCAAACTTGAAAAGAATCAATCGACTCCCCTACTACTCCAACAAACTCCTATTACCACTCAACCTCCTATTATCCCCATTAACCATTAACATAGCCCTATTTCACACATTAACAAACGTTCCAGAATTGCTAATACATTATCAGATGATAGCGAAGCCTATGCATCTCACCCTGTTAATGTTAATTTGCAAGCTACTATTGAAGAACAAAATGTAATTATTTCTGCTCAGCAATAATAACTTAATATTATGATGACGCAACTCCAGTCCTTGACTGATAAGTTAGCCAAACAATAATTGCAACCTATTTCCATTATTCTTATCATGATTTTAAGTCTTTCTAATATAATAACAAATAATAACAATAATCTGCCTCCAATATTTCCACTAATAACTCTAATGATATTTCAAAAGGAATCTCAAATCTTTTGTTTGCTACCAATAATGTTAATTCTTTACAATGTGTTATAAAAAATACTTCGATTAATGATACTTTCATAGACTTTAATACTAACATTATTGGCCTTACAGAAACTCGTCACAAATCTGACCAATTTTATCAGTATTTACATGATTCTAATTTCTGCGTTTTCTAGAGCTCTTGTATTAATATTCATGCTGGTGCTGGTATTCTTGTCAAATGTTCCTGGGCCATTTACATCTAACGAAACTTCCTGAATAGTAACAGGTTCATCTACATTAATTTATATCTTGCTGGCTATATCAAATTACGAATCTTCTGTATCTACCTACACGCATCATTAACGTCTGAAACAAAGAAAAATAGACTCAATTTACACAAAACGATTATTAAACACATCAAAGATGGTCTAAAGTCTGACTTTAAAACTATCCTCTTAGGTGATTTTAATGCAAACCTCAATACTTACTGGTCTAATTCTAATCTTGGTTCCCCTTCCCATTAGAGATTTGATTTTTATGATTAAATTTTTGCGCTTAATTTCCTAGACCTTTATGACTTATGTCATGATATACCCGAACCCACATTTTGTGTTAACAACCAAAGTTCACGCATTGATACCATTTTTGCTTCACCTAATCTCGTTTCAGATTTTTTGTTCTTATCTCTATATCACTCTGATTTGTATTCGTCAGATCACAAGATCATTTTTGCCTTCTTTACAGATATACAGAGATGTTTACAGGCAAATCTCGTCTAATTCAAGACAAATGACAAGTATCTAACCTACGCTTGATGAATTCGTCCAAATAGGTTAATTTTGTAGAATATACCAACTTCCATTATAATTGTCATAATCTTGATCAATTCAAAAACCTCTCGCTGACATATCACAATATGAATTCCTTATGAACCAATATCAAATTGCTATTTGTGTTGTGAATAAACATACCATCCCACAATATTGGATTTCTCGTAATAATGATCATAAACAGCTATATGAATTACCAGATTCATATTTAACTGCATAAAAAGTTCTTTCAATACTTTTGCTCTTCAAACCCAAGCTGATCCAAAATAAAAAATGACCTAAAGATTCAACAGGACCCCGAACTATACTAATATAACTCACATTTGAGTTTGCATAGAGTTTATATATAAACTTTGCCAAAAGTTACTTATTTTTACAAATTTAATTATCTTACATACCCATTATCTCAATAACCAGTAATTCAATTTTAATGAAATTTATACCATTGGATTCGTCTAACTGAGAAAAATATAATGATAGTAATTACATCATTTTAGCATTAATATTGACCGAGTTATACTATACAATATAATTTTAATTGAATGTTCATATTACATTTGTGAGTTCTATTAATATAGTTTGGGGTTCTGGTTCAACATGGACTGAAGTATCATCTACCATGTCAAAAATTATTGAAAAAATGAAGCTTGCATCCATCTCCTTCCCTTTAATTCTTATTGAACACTCTGTCCTCGATATTAAATGTGACCTTCTTGCTACCTACAAATTGCTTTCAAACTTGTCAAAAATAGATACACACAACCTCAAAGTTTCAGCTATTAAATAACTGGTTGATAAACGTTGTGACGATCTGCTTAACAATATATCCTCTATAATTGATTCAATTCGTAACTGGAAAAAAATACCATTATCTTGGATCAGTTGTTAATAAATGATTCTGTGAATATCACTAAAAGATTCACCGTTAATCCTAGTGAAATCAAAGAGATTACTTAACATTATTTTCAAAATTTCACTTTACCTGATACTCTGTCTCAACCTTTGCCTTCACGTTGGATAAATCAGTACCTTCTGAAAGATTACGTTAACAGTAGTTGCTATAACCATTTTTTTCAACCCCTTCAATTGATGAATGGCTAGCTATTTTTCGACAACTGTCTAAGGATAAGGCTGCAGATCCATCTGGCATCACTAATAAAATGCTGACTCATCTTGGTAACAAATTATAATATTTTCTCTGGCAACTTATTTGCATGTATTTCACTATTGGTGACATTCCTAATGAATGGAAAATTGTACACATCTTTTCAATTCCCAAACCTATGACTTAAAAATGTGATATTACAAAGCTCATCCTATCACACTCCTTGAAACTACAAGAAAAGAATTCGTTAAATTCTCACAAATCATCACTCAAATATTATTGCTAAATACTCTATTCTTCAAGATGGCAATTTCGCTGGATTGCCAGGAGGCTCAACGGAAACTCCCATCAAAATTCTCAATATGTTACTAGAGGATACCAACAAAAATAATAAGGAAATTTGGATTTTACTCCAAGATCTTTTAAAAGCGTATGACCCTGTCGACCTATCCTTCTTTCGTAAGTCGTTACATCATATTAAAGTACCTAACTATGCATTAGATCTTTTGACTAATCTTTTCACTGCATGAAAAAATGCTGTTTTTACTACTCATGGTATATCTGACTATTATGATATAAAAATCAGTATAGACTAAGGTGAAGTTATATCCCTGCTTTTATGGTGTATCTATCTTGATCCTCTCCTATGCTAATCTTAACAAAGAATACACCATTGAACATTGTTAGATCACCGATCTCACTACTTTATCCTCCAATCATTTATCAGCTCAAGTATTATCCCTTACTTTTATGGATGATACAAATTGGATTGCTAGAAATCAACGGAACCTGAAATCTATGTTAAAAGTTGCGGATGAGTTTTATAACTTTACATAGTCTGCTCTTAATTAACAAAAATCAAAACTTTTGTTTATAAAATGTCTTTCTAGTCTCTTAGTTAACCTACATTTTAGTTCATCTTATGTCAATTTGTGTATTGAATAGGACTCTGTGAGATTTCTAGGAGTCCGGATTAATCATAAGCGTTCAGCCGCCTTTGTTAAGAAATAAATTACACTTGACATTCAACGATTCATTAATACTATGAGATACAAACCTATCACTAATAAACAATTTGTGTATATCATTAATATGAGAGCTGATCTATTAAAAATAGGTTACAAGACTAGTAAATTGATTTTAAGTAATTGATGATCAAAAAATAGTTACGCCACAATAAACATACTTAGCCAATAAAAAATTACACTAAAAATAATATTGAGTCTAATCAATTAATAAGGCAGTACTTTAATTTTATATATATAACATTTTATTATAATAATTATTTTTACAAATATTAAATTATTTTAAAAATAATGAAACTATAAATTATCTAAAATTTTTCTATTAAATCCCACCATGTCAAAAATATTGTTACATCACTTGAGATTTTGAGATTTTGCTATTAAAACCATACTCTGAAACATTTTTATATATGTTAATCATTTGGCAATCATTGCTAAAATTTACATCAATCATTTCTATAAAATCCAATTTTAGATATTTGATTGACATTATACAGAAATTTAAGCATTTTTGCCAGCCAAATTACTTGTTTTATTAATAAGCTTATAGCCTCTAAAAATTTAACCAAATAAAGTTCATTTAATATACTATAATATGAATCAAAAATCTCATTTTTTGTTGAAAGGTTCCTATAACCCATTTTTAATAGATCAGCTCCTATATGGTTCTATGTCCTCTCATCGAATACCGTTTTTAACTTACTTTCTTATCCAAATCTGAATGTGATAAATTGTTTGTTCCTATTCGTTCACTTTTCAAAAGGAAAAACAAGTTTACCATTACACTTCCGAATGTTTTGTTAAATTCCACAAATTTTATAACTTGAATGATCTTTGGTCATTACAAATTAAGTTCCTTTCCTATACTCTTCTACATCAATTCAATAATAATTTGCTTTATGAATACATTTCTACTATCTGATTATTTTAATTCCA